GGAAGTGTTGAAGGCCAGGTTGGATGGGGCTGTGAGCAACCTGGTGTGGTGGGAGGTGTCCCTGCCCAGGGCAGGGGACTTGGAACGAGATGGGCTTTAAGGTCCCTTCCAACCAAACCATTCCATGATTCTATTTTTAACACTTCAGTTCAACAGAGAAGCAAAAGCAGCAGCTATTGGTAATGGCCCGGATGGGAAAAAGCACTAAGGTAAAAATTAAGTTCTCCCGGTAAATAAGAGATGTATCAATATGTACAGCATATGAAACCTAGCTATAAATGAGCTAACACTTGTGAGCTTTGATTTATACTTAACACAGAAAAAAAAATCCCGAACTTCAGTTGTGTCACTACTGGCTATTCTATCGTAGCTCCCTCGTAGTCTCAGCTGTTACTGTAAAAAGCCCAGTCATTTCAGCTTTCAAAGACATTTCCAGATCCTGCAGTTGTACAAAATAAATGAAACTGTAAGCCCTAAAGTTTTCAAATATGACAAACGCAGTGGAAAGTCTCAAAACAAATATCCAGACTAATGACTTTTCAGATTAATTTTCATTTTAAGGAGAAGACCCGAATTTGTCAACTCTTCTATCAACAACATTAGACTTTTAAACTGATTTCCTTTCTTCTGGAAAGAAAGAAACAAACAAAAATTTACACAAACCCCTTCTCTCAACCCCTAATGCAGTATGTTACACTCTCTCGCCAATACATCTCTTTATGCTTTTAATATTTTTAGCTTCACTTAGGCTAACAACACTACTTGCAATGCGGGAGCTCAGGAAAGGAAAGGGAGTGTGCCTCAACAGATATCCCTGAAGATCCCCTTAACTCAGTGCAAAACTGCTGTTAATAAAAGCAAAACCAATGTCGACACACAGAAGGAACAGAACGGAAGAAATAATTAAAAACACAATGCCGGAATGTAAAAGCAACAACCGCTGCCTCTTCTAGGAGACTGAGGTACCAGCTAGTCGCAAACAGAGACTTCAGAGCAAGGTGGCACAGAGATTCATAGAGAGACTGTAAGAATTCTAATAGTAATAAAATAAAGTGATTGAGAAAGGGTAAGACGAAAGATGGCTTTTGTGGGTTTCTTGGTTTGTTTTACATCACAAAATAATGAAACGATACCAGCCCAAATCTATCAGCGGTTACAGCAATTTGATCAGAGATTTTGTTCTTACAAGAACAGGAGGGGATTCAATGAAGTTAAAAACACGTCAAAATCTCAGATTGATATCTAAATACTACTTCTCATAATTAAACTCTGGAGCTCGATGTCATACAGCGTCCCTGGGGTCTAAAACTTTGCAAGGTCAGAGGCGTACGACGGTCTGCACATTCCTCTTTTGAGTCATTACCAGCAATACACTTCAGCAGGGACTCCACAGATAATCCCCAGGAAAGGCAGAAGAATTAACGAGCTTCACCTCCCTTTGAGGCGTTACATCAACTGCGGCGTGGCGGACGGGCCAGGGGACTAGGCGAGCGTTTCTCCCCCTAAATTCAGAGGGAGGCAGTGATGGTGTCACCAGATTTCAATTAAGAGCAGCTGAGTTCCCTCGGTGGGAGGCAGGACACGAGCCCTCCCTGCCCACGCTAGGCAGGGAACCGCTGCCTTCCTCCAGCTGCCGCCGGGCTCGTTCTCCTGCTCCGTCCCCATCCCTCTGCAAACAGAGATGCTTCCAGCTCCCAGGCTGACCTGAACGGGGATGTCCCAGGTGCGCTCCGCTTCCAAGGGGGCTGAGGAATGTTGTAGCAGACGTGCTGCAGACACAGTGAGCAAAAAGGAACTGGATCTTCAAAGGACAACGAGACAGACTATTCACAAGGCTGCTCACGGCACCGGCGTTTGAACTTGGGTGTCCCACAACAAACAACCGAACAAGTAACATGCTGGAAAATGCTTTTTTCCTACTGAAATTCAAAATACAGAGAACGCTGCCTACCAGCCCCAGGTTGGGTACTGACACACCATGACAAGACGGGCACTAACTACGGGAAGCAATATTATGCTCTAACACAAGTTCACAATTGTAGAAGAGTTCCTATTCAGTTTCTGATCCAACTAAATGGAAAGAAAATGCATTTAATTTTCACCCCTATACGCATTCTGAGGGCCAGAGAGTGGAATTCAAAGTGTAATTCCAGTAAACACAAGATTTGCTACTACTTCACTGTTCTGTAAACACCACCGAGAGAAAGTGCTGCAGAACTGCTTTCAAATAAATTCAATTTCTGACCATCAGCGGAGTTATTCCTACCTCTCATGCTACAACCCCGCAGATGCTACAAGCATCCTAAAGCACTGCTGATTTGGCAAGCGGATGCTGCTTTTCTGCCAGTGGCTTTTAGCTGTTATTCTGCTAAATGACTGTATTTGACATGGTTGACTTCAGCAGAGAGGATACAGAAGCTTCCCAGGCCAAGCTTTACAACAGCTCTGCTTCCTCTGTGCAAAGGGCGAGGGAGAACCGCGTAGAAGCGGCAGGCAGGACAGGCGGTAACCCCCTCGTGTTCACAGGGCCATCAGCCTGGCAATGCTGGCTGATCGCGGTGTCCGAGCATAGCTTAAAGGCTGAGAATTTAAGCAGGAAATATTTTATTAAGACAGACACTGATCGTTTAGATTTGCAAAGTACTTTGAAGATAAAGTGCCACTACACGTGTCAAGAGACATTATTATTTACAATTATTTGTGGTGCAGAACAGCAAGGGATTTAATTATATTCTATTGTAAATTCTTCTAGACAAGAGCCTGTCATTCGTTTGTCTATAAAACTCTATTTAAAGCAAAAAAACCCAGAAGACTGTGAATGTCCTTGTCAGTGTGAGGGAGAGGCCTGGGAGCAGTTAAAAAAATCTGACATGAACTTTCTCAAAGATGACTTTAACTGATTTTTGGATTGGACCCACACTAAGTCTGATCGACTGTAGAGCACACACCGGTTGAACTCTAAGTATTTTAACTAAATCTGTTAGTACTGGACCACAAATACGCATTGGCATATTGCTATTATTAATAGATTTCACAGGGAAAAAGATAAAATCAGGGTTACAACAGGTAAACCAGAAGTAAAACCTCCACTTTTTTTTTTTAGTAGACAGGTCGCATTCATGCCTTTACTTAAAAAGGAGGGGAACCTCCCTCAACCACAGACCTTGCTGGAAAAGGAATGAGGAGGACATAAGGCGGCAGACAAAAAGAAGTGTAAAGGGAAACATTTACATGCGACATCAGAGGAAATCAAACTCCTGTAACA